AATTATAATCAATCTATCTCTATCGCGGACCGTCACTATAACTTATCGCTCCCGTTTTATTTTTTGTTAAATCCAACCAATCGATCTAATAATGTGATAATCTTTCAGACAACTGATCTGAATTCGTTAGAATGTCCATTTGAGATCAGTCAGTCCACATTTTAAGATTTCTGCTTTAAATTCCGAATAATTCCCGAATAATCAAGGTTTGAAAATTCCGAAATATTAAAATATTCAAGCTACATTTTTAGAGGTTTGGGGGGTGAAATTGTAAAAAGTGGATTGACCCATCTCAAGTAGACATAATAATAACGAATTCAAATCTGTTTTTAAAAGTATCATTGCATTACTAGATCGATCTTCAATAAATAATTATAGTACTTCGTCAGGAACAATAACGGTTAGGTTAATGTCCAGTGGTTTTAATTATATTGAATTATATTGTAACTATGTAAGCATTATGATCCCATGTTTGTACATTATTATGTATATTATAATACATTATTATTTCTATAAAGCAGTAAAATGTTAATTTGAGCATCTGACCAGGTTGGCTGAATAATATATAGATACCATCAAATACTTTACTATTTATGTGTTTATACTTAATAATATGTTTATAACATATTTATATGTTTTTTTTAATAGCACCCGTGAACTCAATTAATTAAAACAGTGACAAAATATTACTACATACCTACAGAAAGAGTACATAATATTAATTTCTATGATACATTGTTAGAAGCAAAAATTAAAAAAGATGGATTTTTATTATAATATTATACTGTCTGATAATATTATAATGCATGTTAAATTCTATTAATCAAACACACAGGTAGGGAAGTTGTGTAACTATTCACTATTGATGTTAAAACTAAAACTATCAACCATGCTAACATCGTTAATATATGACAAGTACCGAGTATCTACTGATGTATCTATAATAGTAATTAAATACTTCTTTAAAAATTGTATTTTTAATTCATCATTTGTAAAGTAAATATGTAGTACATGTGAAACATTTAAAATTATATTTATGTAGGTAACCGTAACCTACTACAAACAAAACACAAATCACAATATTATTACTAATATCCTACCTACTGGTAGGTGGAAATCCATTCAAATTTCAGGGGGGCTAATATTATTAACATCAATGTGAGTTGGGGGGGGGGGGGGATTCGATGCCACACAACTAAAAAAAGAGGGGGCTTGACGAACTTTCGTGGGGCTAAGCTCCCGTTAGTTCAACTCCAATCTCCTATTTAATTATGTAACCACTTAATGTAATACCCATGTACGTACTTAATAGGTATCTATTGTAGTATTGTCTAATAAGTTTACTCAGTCATTCAAAATGGTACGTGATTTAAGGTTTTTTTTTATAAATTGATATACCAGATACCTACAAGTTAATCTATTTATTATATTTTGCTGTAGGTTTTTAGATTCTGAGTGAAACTATGAATGTATTGATTTTACAATGATGTGTGTTTTAGATTCTGAGTGAAACGATGAATGTATTGATTTTACAATGATGTGTGTTTTTTTTTTTATTTTTTTTTTTATTTTTTTTTTTATTTTTGTGTCTGTCATCACGTTTTAGGACAGTAAAAGTGCTTGGATTTTCTTCATCAGTAGCTTTTCTGATAGGAAAGTGAATCTAGTTGGTACTTTGGGGGGTCAAAAGTATAAATTTCCCAGTAGTTTTCACAAGCGCCGGGAAAAACAACATAAAAATTAAGGAAAAACGGGAATTTTTACGCAAAATTGGTTTTCCAAAAAATCGATTTTGGTTTTTGGTGTAACTCTAAAACAAATGAACGTATATACATGAAATTTTCACTGGTTGTTTATATTTGCATTTTCTATACACGATAACATTTTCAAAATATTTTGATTTATTTTGAACTGTTTAGGGACATTTTCATTTTCCATTTTTTTTTAGTTTTTTTTCTAAAAATATCAATAAAATTTTATTTATTGGTTGCGAAAGCTTGAAAATTTAATAGAAGGCTCCTAATATGTTGTTTCAAAGGCAGATGAAAAATATTAAAAATCCTTAGTCACAATTTTTTTTTATAAGCATTTAAAGTTCAAAAATTGACAAAATATGGAAAAATCACGAAAATTAGCAAATTATTTTGAGTTAAGAATTCGTAAAAATTGTTCTTTTTAAATCTAAGATTTGAAAATGAAACACAAGATTCCTTATAAGATTATCTACCTTTATCAATAAAAAAATCTCTACCGGACAGTCAAATTAAATTTTTATGAGCGTTTGAAATTCAAATTTTTACAACATTGGATATTCACTCGATTTCTCATGTGGCAATTTCCTTTTTTTGTTGTAATTAAAAAACGAATAACTGTAGATACATGAAAATTTCACTGAATGTTTATATTAGCATTTCCTATACACCATACAATTTTGAAAATATTTTGACTCTTTTTGAGCTGTTTATGGACATTTACAGCTTTCAATTTTTTTTAGTTTTTTTTTCTATAAATATCAATAAAGTTTTATCTGTTGGGCCAAAAAGTGTAAAAATTTAATACAAGGCTCCTGATATATTGTTACAATATCAGTTGAAAAATATTAAAAATACATAGGCACGATTTTTTTTTATAAGCATTTAAAGTTGGAATTTTGACAAAATTTATCAAAATCTCGAAAATTATCAATCGTTGGAATTAAAAAATTATAAAATGTTCAGTTTTTATAACTAAGAGTTGAAAATTTAAAACAAAGATTCTCTTAAATAATTCATACTGTAACCAAAAAATCTAAAAAATATATAAACACACTTATTTTTTACAGACATTTTAATTTCAAATTTAGACAAAATTTCATATTTAAACCAAGAATTACGATTTTAGTTATTTTGTTGTGATTGAATAATACTATTCGTGGGTACTTGAAACTTCTAAAGTGTACTATTATATATCTATGATAGTATCACGGTTTTTGTTGATGTATAACGCGTTATAGGTATCTAATGGATATTGTGATATGATTAATTTGGAATTTATTATAGGTACCTATTATAGGTCAATTTTTTGTTTAATACCATAGATATGTATATAATATGCCTTATACATAGACTGACATACCATCACCGCTCAGAATCGTTTTTCTTATACAATGATATTATATCATTGAATTCAAATTTAATACCAATAATACCATCCATTATACAGTGACCCACTTGTAACCTACTGTACAGCAGAGCGACACCCACTTGCCCACCTTTTTGTGTCTGTCATCACGTTTTAGGACAGTAAAAGTGCTTGGATTTTCTTCATCAGTAGCTTTTCTGATAGGAAAGTGAATCTAGTTGGTACTTTGGGGGGTCAAAAGTATAAATTTCCCAGTAGTTTTCACAAGCGCCGGGAAAAACAACATAAAAATTAAGGAAATACGGGAATTTTTACGCAAAATTGGTTTTCCAAAAAATCGATTTTGGTTATTGGTGTAACTCTAAAACAAATGAACGTATATACATGAAATTTTCACTGGTTGTTTATATTTGCATTTTCTATACACGATAACATTTTCAAAATATTTTGATTTATTTTGAACTGTTTAGGGACATTTTCATTTTCCATTTTTTTTTAGTTTTTTTTCTAAAAATATCAATAAAATTTTATTTATTGGTTGCGAAAGCTTGAAAATTTAATAGAAGGCTCCTAATATGTTGTTTCAAAGGCAGATGAAAAATATTAAAAATCCTTAGTCACAATTTTTTTTTATAAGCATTTAAAGTTCAAAAATTGACAAAATATGGAAAAATCACGAAAATTAGCAAATTATTTTGAGTTAAGAATTCGTAAAAATTGTTCTTTTTAAATCTAAGATTTGAAAATCTAATACAAGATTACTCATAAGATTGTCTACCTTTATCAATAAAAAAATTTCTACCGGAAAGTCAAATTAAATTTTTATGAGCGTTTGAAATTCAAATTTTTACAACATTGGATATTCACTCGATTTCTCATGTGGCAATTTCCTTTTTTTGTTGTAATTAAAAAACGAATTACTGTAGATACATGAAAATTTCACTGAATGTTTATATTAGCATTTCCTATACACCCTACAATTTTGAAAATATTTTGACACTTTTTGAGCTGTTTACGGACATTTTCAGTTTTCAATTTTTTTAGTTTTTTTTTTTCTATAAATATCAATTAAGTTTTATCTGTTGGGCCAAAAAGTGTAAAAATTTAATACAAGGCTCCTGATATATTGTTACAATATCAGTTGAAAAATATTAAAAATACATAGGCACAATTTTTTTTTATAAGCATTTTAACATCGAATTTTGATAGAATTTTTCAAAATCTCGAAAATTATTAATCATCGTAATTAATAAATTATAAAATGTTTAATGTAAAAGATTTAATTTTGCCAAATTTATCAAATTTAAAATTGAATGATTATTTTGTAGTTAAAAATTTATAAGATGTTCAACTTTTATAGCTAAGGATTGAAAATTTAAAACAAGATTCCACGTAAGTAGTTAATTCTCTTACCGAAAAATCTAAAAAATATACAATCACAGTTTATTTTTATAGTCATTTTATGTTCAAATTTGGACGAAATTACATATTAAAAAACCTAGTTATTTTGTTGTGATTATATAATATTATTCGTGGGTACCTACTTGAAACTTCTAAAGTGTACTATTATATATATATGATAGTATCAGGGTTTGTTGTTGGTGTATAACGTGTTATAAGTACCTAATGGATATTGTGATATGATTAATTTGGAATTTATTTTAGGTCAATTTTTTTTTTAATACCATAGATATGTATATAATTTGTCTTAAACCTAGACTAACATACCGTCTTCGCTCAGAATCGTTTTTCTTATACAATGATATTGTATCATTGAATTCAAATTTAAAAGCATCCATTATACAGTGACCCACTTGTAACCTACTGTACAGCAGAGCGACATCCACTTACCCACTTTTTATTTCTATGATTTTATATCATCATTCTTTTATGTACATATAACTTATATTGAGCCAAAATTTGCCAAAATTTGAGGCATTGTCAGTAACTACATGGGTAACTTTTTCATTTTCAATTTTAAAGTCCAGCATTATTTCATTGATTACTTTGGCAATATTTAAATAAGTATGATTTCCTTTTATACGCCTGCAAGCTAATATATAAGAATACCTACTGTAGTTAAGTTCATCGATAAAATGACAAGTCATTCCTAAATAGCTCTTATTGTTGGAACTCCAAATATCAGCAGTAACACACACATAACTTTGTTTTTCAATAAATCCAGTTAACATTTCTACATAAGCTTTATATTTATGGTTTAGTTCACTGACAAGAGCTTTTCTGTATGGAAGTACAATAGAATCTGATGTAAGGCCTCGAATCAACCGTTTGAATGATGGTTTTTCACATGTTGCTAGTGGTTTCATTTCTTCAACAATGTAGTTAAAAACTAAATCCTTCACCTGTAATAAAATAATTATAATATAATTATAATTTGGAAAGACATAAAATGTGCATAAAATAGTTAGGTAGATGTATTTATATAATTGCTATTTGCTTATGATTTTTTTTTATATATATATTGAAAGTTATATATACTAGAAAGTATTTTTTAATTTATATATTGAATCATATTTTTTCAAGTTAACTTCTGACTTAATAATTTCAATTTTATTTCAAGATGTTATAAAGTTTTTAATTTTTCAAATGGTTTTATTTTAAAACACACTTACGTTTTGGAATTGTCATAAAATCATCCCACAGTAATAAAAATAAAAATGAGTTAAGCCGTTGATATACCCACGACTTAAGTTATTAGTATATTAATGTATAGATAGTTACTAACCAGTTCTTTTGACACTTTTGGAGTATCATAGATTTTTGTTTGAATCATTGTTGATGTTTCTTGATCTTTTTTTTTTCTTGCGTCTTCTACTTTCGACATCAACGAGTTATGTTTCCGCTATAAATATTAGATAAATTCAACTATAAGTTTAAAATATAGTTCAATAATAAGAATAATAATAATTAGAACCTATATACAATATAGCCATGTTTAAGTTACTTAGATCAGTTAGGCCTTAGGCGTAGCTTTTTGGTTATTATTTTTATACTTATTTTAAAAATATATTTAATATAATTATTATGAAAAGTAAATTTCAACTGTGATACATTTTATGTAATACAATTATTTAAATACAAATGAGATCAAATTATTTTTATACAAAGTTGTTTTAATATCATATATTTAATTAACATATTATAATAGGTAGGTACTTTGATTAATCATGATGTATGACTATTTTTTTTTATGTTAATTAAGTTTTCATTGTACAAAGTAAAAACTATGATATCAGTAAAACAAAATTGATTTGTTAGGTCAACAAATATAGGATTCCCGACCATATAGGTATACCTACATATTAAATTTTTTTCAAGTAGCATTATACTGTATTTTTTAAATTTAAAACAAAACTACATATGTATTTTTAGATACTGAACACTAGTATAAAAATTTACAAATATTGAATTATGATATAACTGATCAAATAAAATATGAGGGGGTACTAATCTAAATTGCTGAAGTATTAATTTATAAGCATCAACAAGATAAACTTCATACATATGATTAATAAACAAACTAGGTACCTACTACCTATTAAAGTGTTGTTTATCAATCTTTTTTTTAAATAAAATAAAATTTAAATAATTAAGCTTACCTTTATATGGCTTAAAAAATTACCACTTGATTTTGTGGACCCACTAACAACTTTAGAACAGTTTTGACAAACAGCTGTTACTTTAAGATTTTCCACATTTCGAAGCTTATAAAATTCGTCAAATAAATATTTATAATAAGGTGCAGGTGCAAGTGAAACGTGAGTAGAAATGAGAGTTGTTGGGTCGTCCACATTTTGAGCTTCTGCTGGTTCGACGTCCAAACGAATTTTTTTAACTGATGTGGAAGTTATAAATCGATCCATGATTTAACGGCTCAAATATAAAGTCACAATTCACAAGTAGGTAATAAAATGGTGTTTATACCTTTTACTAGACAACGGTCGCCTTATGGCTTATACAGTTATACAAGAAATCGTTAGGCTCTGTAGTCTTAATGAAATAATATGCTATTATGCTATACCTAATACTCTTTCATTAAGAACTAAGAAGTAAGAAGTAAGAACGCACTGACACACTGCTTCGCGCATCGACGCATCGTTATCAAAGGTTCAACCGGTTTTCGTCAGCCGCCTGGTGCGTTTTCATATGAAATACAGTACTACGAAGTTAATTTTTATTTATTTTTAGAATGGATGGGGAAATAAACCTATACCTATAATTAATTTTAATATGCTCATTATGATTTATGGCTAGTAGAGAAGGATGTATAGTGCATGCCCGCATGCAGGTTCTCGTAATACTCGTTGACAATAATTACATGAAATATATTTATCTAATTTTATAAATAATTTATACTACATTAGAATTTTAGTAACATTGGTTTTATAATTTTGTAGTGGCACTATAATATTTATCTAGATAAATTTATCTAGATAAGCCCATTTTTTATCTAAGCTAAACGTTAGATAAATCGTAACATAATTATCTAGATACTTTAAAAGATAATTTATTTCAAAAAATCTTATCTAGATAAGTTATCTAGATAATTTTATCTAGATAATTCCCAACACTGCATATAAGTGTTGATAAGTGTTGATAATTCCGAAATTTCAAAATATTCAAGCTACATTTTTAGAGGTTTGGGGAGTGAAATTTTGAAAAGTGGATTGACCAATCTCAACTTTCTCTTTTGATGGATCATCTGCACACCGAGTGCTTGCGTTGGAAAAAGAAATCATGAAAATCGGTCCAGTAGAACTTCAGATATAACTGTCATAAGAAATCGCCTCAAGTTTTAATATAATATATAATAGGTATAAAGATTGTTGGTCTGGCCGGGGTTCATCTGGTTCATCGGGTTGGTAAAAACGCTACTAAAACGTACGAACTAAATCGTGCGAAGTAAAACGTAAAAATAAGGTGCCGGAGTAGCAGGGACTCATGATCTAATCGTCACTTTTCTTCAGTTTCGGTGGTGGCGGCGGCGGCGGCGGCGGCTTGGCGGCTGTTGCGACGACGCGCGGCAGCAGTAGCTACTCGCTCAACGGCAATCACGATCATAGCATACGTTCCTGGTACATTATGTTACATTATAGAAAATATCGTCAGAATATACAACGTTTATACAACGTTACTGAGTACAAAATATATATAAATATATCGGACGTCGTTCTTCGCTGAATATATCATCCAAATAACTCTCATTAGATCACCTTAGGTGCGATAAAAAATGAATAATTTAATTTGTATAGGTACCACTATTAAAAAAATTCACGGAAATCACTGAGGGAATAAATTTGCCATATAAATAAATGCAAATAGAATTCAATAGGTAGATTAACTACTAGTATTGATTTACGATTATAGTATATAATCAATGTTACTACTTACTAAGTACTACCTAGTTAGTAGTTACTACTAATGTGTGAGTAATTTGATTTGATTAGATGATTAAAGAGCCTAGCTAACAAATGCATACACTTTTGTAATCGCTTATCATCTCTAGTTATAAGTATTTAGTAGTTTATAACAATATTATAAAATAATTTTATTATGCTGTAATAGATGTATTAGGTAATTTATTTAAATTGGAATTTAACTGCTTATGAATTACGATGAAAAACATTTAGAGCGAAGAATGAAGACAATATGTTGACAATAAAATTGGCGATTTTTACGAATTCCGTCCTGTTTGTAAAAGTAAGTACGGACATTTTTAAAAGTACAACTAGACCCAATTGGTGACCAATTGAAACCACCTTCGAAGTTTAAAATCGAATCTTTCTACTTGAAAAAATGTCTTCAGACGTTCAGACACAAAAAAATAAAATATATAATAGTACATAATATGAACATTATCCTATTGGATATAGTATATTGTATAATATTATTAATATTATGTAATATTTTACTATCTTAAAGTTAGATTCTGTTTTGGTCATTTTTAAAATATATATTTTTTGTATATTTTGTATATTTTATTTATATTTTTTTGGCCCAATCCACCACATTGCCACAAACAACAATGAAAATATTTTATTCAAGGTATTTCATAAAAATTAGACGCAGGTGCGTGATAATTTAAAAATTCGTAACGATTAAAATTTAGAAAAGCAGGTAACTGTGTGTGACTCTGCTGTACAGTAGGTTGCAAATGTATGACTGTAATGGATGGTGTTAAATTTGAATTCAATGATATAATATTATTGTATACGAAAAACGATTTCGAGCAGAGACGGTTTGTCGGCCTAAAATATTTTATATTATGTTATATTGTAATTATTAATACGGTATAGCCGGTTAAGTTGAATTATTATTTGTCTATTGTCATATTAATTGTGTATAATAATATACTTTAGAAGTTCCAAGTACCCACAAGGCACAAATAATATTTTATAAATATAATACAAAACTAAATAATCGTTCTTCTTCTTTTAAATATCTAATTTCGTCCAAATTTTGAATTTAAATAACTATAAAAAAAGTATCTCTGCTGTAAAGTAGGTTACAAGTGGTCACTGGGGTCACTGTAATAGGTAATGGATGGTGTTAAATTTGAAGTCAATGATATAATATCATTGTATAAGAAAAACATAATAATGTGAAAAGTGACCCATCTCAAGTAGACATAATAACGAATTCAAATCTGTTTTTAAAAGTATTATCGCATTACTATATCGATCAGTACGATGGAATAAAAATTGGCTGTTTTGGCTAAAATAACTGTTCAATAAAAATTATAGTACTTCGTCAGGAACATTTTTTTCCGGCTAGCTACTAGCATCGTGACATAAAATACTTCATTTCAATAATATTGTTGGTCTGGGAGGTTGTAAAAGTACGAACATACGAAGTAAAATCTAAAACAAGGTGCCAGAGTACCAGGAACTCATGATGTAATCGTAACTTTTCTTCAGTTTCGGCGGTGGCGGCGGCGGCGGCTTGGCGGCTATTTTGACGACACGCGAGAGCAATAGCTCGCTCAACGACAATCACAATCATAGCATACGTTCATGATACATTCTGTTACATTATAGAAAATATCGTCACAATATTCGTTTACTGAGTACAAAATATCCGTCGAGCGTCGTTTTTAACAAATACGAGTATATCATCCAAATAACTCTCACCTTAGGTGCTATAAAAATGAATAATTTAATTTGTATGCATAGGTACTAATATTAAAAATCACGGAAATCAATGATTAAATGAACAAATTTGCCATATAAATAAATGCAAATAGAATTCAATAGGTAGATTAACTACCATTGAGTATATAACCAATGTTACTAAGTACTACCTAGTTAGTAGTTACTACTAATGTCTAATGTGTGCGTAATTTCATTTGACTAGATGATTAAAAAACTTGGATACCTAGCTAACAAATTCATACACTTTTGTAATCGCTTATCGTCTCTAGTTATTAGTAATTTATAACAATATTATAAAATAATTGTATTATGCTGTAATAGATGTATTAGGTAATTTATTTAAATTGGAATTTAACTGTTTAACTTAAACTGCTTATGAATTACGATGAAAAACTATTTAAACACAGGGGTGTGATAATTTTAAAATTCGTAACGATTAAAATTAAAAAAGCTGGTAAATGTGTGTGACTCTGTACAGCAGAGGTTTACCAATGTTTCACGTAAATAAGTTATATATAAATTACTTTATGCACAATAATATCATCAAATATACCTACTTAGTAATATCATAGACTATCTGACCGTCTTCGTTCAGAATCGTTTTTCTTATACAATGATATTATATCATTGAACTCAAGTTTAATACAATTCATTATACAATGACCCACTTGTAACCTACTGTACAGCAGAACGACATCCACTTGCCCACTTTTTTTATTTATTTTATTTAATATAGAAACTTTACAATCTGTAAAATATGTATAATAAGCAGGGCTCGGTACTTAAAGCATTTACTTTTTTTTTATGGATTGAATTAAAATGTATCAGATTGCTATGGAAGTGCATGTCGTGTTACAACACGTTCAATTATGAAATTCAAAAGTCCTTTTTTTTGCTTTTTTCAAAAAAATTCATATTAACAGTATTTCTGGTTATTTTTGCTTCTTTGAACCAGTTTTTCTACTTTTTATGGTTTTATCCTGCAAAGTGGTTTTTGATAGAATTAAAATCAAATGCAAAATTAAATCATTCAATCCAATAACGACGGTAAGATTTAATTAATAAATTAATTTTTTTCGACTATATGTAAATATCATTTACATTTTATTTTTAAGAAAACCGATAAACAATAATGCAAAATGTCGTGAAAGTGACATTTGATTTTATTATAATATAAAGATTTATTTTTTATTTAGAAACTTTTGATAATCATTTTTTTTAGCACAGTTATACAAATTAAGTCTAGTACCTACTTTATCATGTAAAAAAGAAGATTTTTTTTGATTAAATATTTTTGCTTAAATTTAAGTTTTTTAAATGCTTATATGAGTGCTTATAATGATGTTTTTAAGAGCTTATCTTAATGATTTTAAGTGCTATAAGTCCTAAGCCCTGATAATAAGCAAACAGGTTAATTACAGAAAATATTTACAAGATGATTTAGTGTAAGGAGGGAGGCTGTCCACTGACAGAACCCTCATTATAAATGTTTAAGTACGAAATCTTTAAATTTGAAGTTTGATAAATGTTGTTAAAATTTGAACTTTAAATGCTTATAAGAAAATGTATTTTTAATATTTTTCAACTGCTATTGTAAAAAAAATATATCGCAGATGCCTTTTATTAATTTTTCACTCTTTTTAGTAGTTTTTACCCAAAAAATAACATTTTATTGTCATTTATAGAAAAAAAAAACTAAAAAAATTTAAAAT